CAGTACGACGTAGTGCTGAGCAGTACGACGTAGTGCTGAGCAGTACGTCGTAGTGCTGGGCAGTACGACGTAGTGCTGAGTAGTACGTCGTACACTCAAAAGAAACAAGGGATTCTCGGAAACCGGCGGAAAAAGGGTTTCGAGGGCTCGGAAACCCATTTTTATGCTCTCGGAAATCCTTAAAAGGTTTCCTATAGTGATACACTCGCAAACCTTTTGCCACCGGTTTCCAAGAATACCTTGTTTTTTAGAGTGTACGACGCACTACTCAGCACTCCGTCATACTGCTCAGCACTACGTCGTACTGCTCAGCACTACGTCGTACTGCTCAGCACTACGTCATACTGTTCAGAACTACGACGTACTGCTCAGCACTACGAAGTGTACCAACTAGTTATAGAAATATGGCTTCTTTTAAGGGATTGACAAGGTGAATTTGGGCCTGGGCCGAAAGTCATGAAGGACTTTCGGCCCAGGCCGAAAAATCACCGGACAGTCGGACCGGGCCGAAAGTCCGGGCCGAAAATTCCTTGGGCCGAAATTCATGTAAACCCATTTTGTTGTTGAATGATTTCGTTTTCTGCACCAATAATTAATAAATCATCAAATGATTTTTACATGAGTATAATAAATATTACACTCAGCAAGAATATGCCGAACTAATATCATTGTAAATCTACAGTAGAATAGACGAGTGATAAAATATTTGTAACGTCACATTAGGAAATAAAGATTTCTTTTTCGATTTCGTCGTTTACGAGCTTCAGCTGACCGCGTTTCACTATGTAACTGACATTTCTTAGTTAAAGATTGTTGTTGTTGTTGTTCATAATCACTGGCATCATCAACCACAGCATGATTGTTGACATTTAAATCATTATCATATAGTGATAATGCTAAATTTGTTCATTATGATTATCTGATATGGCTTCATATAATGCATCATTATCATTTGACGGTAATGTATTATTTAACTCATTATTATCATTTGAAATTTCTTTATATTTAGGCTGTTTATTCATAACTGGTCCAATAAGTTGACTAAGATAAATTTCATTATCATCTGATATTAATTGTAAATCATCATCATTTAAATTAAATAATTTTTGGTGAATTAATACTTTGTTTACTGTTTTTATTTGATGAATTATTTGCTGCAAATGGTAACGATTTAAATGATGTAAATAACTCAATAATATTTGAATTTTTTAACTGGTTAAATGTTCACTTTTCTAAAACTGGTCTGATAAGATACGTTGTGAAAAAACAAACATGTATAGCATACATAATCATCTTTTTTTCTTCGACAAATTGATAATGTTGAATTATTTGACGTTAAACCTGCAGCCCAATTATTAACTGTATTTGATTTGTCAATGAACATGTGTGCAGCATAAACTAAGGCCTTCTGAAGAGCTCATTTTTCACGTGGACGATATGGATTTTGTTCATGATAAACACACATTGATGACGAATAATTTCGTGTGATAACATTATCATAATCAACACCATCAGGATGGCGAAGTTGATGATGATATAGGCGACATGACTCACAATGAGTCAGTGTCCACTCACACCATTCCGCAAAATATAATTATATGACGGTAAGTGATGCTAATGTTGGCCAATTAAATAAATGATAATCTTTTGTTGGATCAAGTTCCTTATCCATATTACCCCATGAGTACAATTTATTTTCAAATCTAAATATTAATATAAAAACTTCTTTAATTTTTACATACGTAGGTGAATTATTAGGTGGAAGATGTTGCAATTCAATTAATATTATTAATAATGGTAGTCGAGGTGGTAGTCTGTATTTGTATTAATTTTAATGACCATTTGATTTTTTTGATTCTGTACCAATAGTAAATTGAGTACATTTTTGTACATGATTGAGCATTAAGTGTATCTCTTCCATTGAACTATATTTGTTCACATGGAACATCTTAGAAATCGCTGTTTGTACGACACGTGGTGGAAATTTTTGTCGTAATTCAACATTTTCTTTTGCTTTGATTGTTGTTCGTGTCCATATTCGTTGTTGATATGATTCATGATCATTTCATGTATCATCATTATGACGTAAATAATGTAGAATGAATATATCTGACATTACAATGACTAAATAAAACAAAATTACATCAGTTGATATAAAATAAGTGAAGAAAAAAAAATAACATAAATAAAGTAAACAAACAAATCATATAATTTATCATTCGTTCAAAGAAATAAACCTATCAAGGTTGTATACATGGATATTATTAGTATATTGATAAAATATATAATATATGTAGGGTTAAAAAATAAATAATATTGTTGGCTGAAAACAGAAACACTTCTGAAAGGGAAAGTTTCCTATTTATAATTTGTCTGTATCTGTAATAATCAATATTTGATAATGTTATCCATATGAAAATGATGGTAATTATTGATAATTAGTGCGCGCATATCAAAATAACAATTTCTTTACACACCGTAATGAAACAATATTGTCCCATGAAAGTTGTTGGGCATGCGTCAATCATAGTCGAGCATAAACCATTATAACATGACAAAACATATACATTAACATTAATTGATCATTAACAAAAATAAACGTTAGTATTTCACATTGTTTTGGAAATAAATATAGGACGAATATCATTGACATGCACTTTTGATTCGACCTGCGTATTTTCATCTTTAACCCAACAAATCAGATGTAGGTTTTTTAATAAGCACTTTGAGTGTAATTGAATATTTTGGATCTAGTTTTGTTTTTGTTCCATGAATTTTAATCGATACTAAATCATTAATTTCATAATGTGGATCTGGATGTTGTTTATAATAAGTAATCTTATATTGTTGTTGTCGATGAATAATATTATCACGTGCGTTTCGTTATATTTTCAACAGATTTTTTTTGATTTGTACATAATAATCATTTGCTTTATTGAAAATAAACGATGTTGAAGGTTCATCAATAGGTAAACGTGGTTCTCGACCAAATTGTAGTTAAAATAGTGAATAATTAGTCGTTGCATGGATGCCTATATTATAAGCAATTACTACTGGTCCTAAGAATTCATGTCAAGAATTACTTTCTCGATCTTGAAGTTTTGCAATTTGAGGAACAAATGTCGCATTGAAACTTTCAATCATCACATTAATTTGGGGGTGATAAAAACTTGAGAAAGTATGATTGTAATCAATTAATTTTGCCATGGGTTCCATAAGTTGATTTTTAAAATGAACACTTTGATCAGATAATATAGTTAATGGTATATCATATTAACAAATATATATTATTAAATAATGTTTGAGCTGTGGTTTGTACTGAACGATCGGGTAAAGCTACTGTTATTACCCATCTTGTTAAATAGTCAGTAATACCTAATATATATTGATTACCACCAGGTATTGGTTTGAACGGACCACAATAATCAATACCTATTAATTGAAATGATCCTTCTAGAGTTGGAATTGGATTGAGTCGACCTGGTTTCTTTGTACAACTAATATTATACTGTTGACAGGGTAAACAGGATTGAATATGTTGAATAATTGATGGTTTCATTTTTGGCCACCAGAATTTATTTTTAATTTTTAAATATGTTCGTTGAACGCTAAAATGACCACTAAGTGAATCACTATGATACAATTGAAGGAAGAAATTAATCATGGATGATGGTAAATAAGTTAATTTTGATTTTGTAGCGGAATTACTACGAAATAAGGCTAACTTGTATAATATGCCGTCTTAAAAAATATAAGAATGTTTTTGTTGAATCTTTCATAATTTCTTAATTTTATTTTGAATAATTTGGTCTTTTGCTTGTTCAATTTTGATTTGAGTTATATAAAAATTACTAGGTGTAATTAAGTGTGATGGAGATTTATTTAAATGTTCAATTTTTTCTTTCCTTGACGACGATGGTATATCATTTATAGTGAGTGGTGTAATTTTGTCATTTTCATTTTGTTGTTGTTTTATTTGTTTTATTTTTGAATGCGTAACGATAACACTAATAACTGAAGGATAATTCGCAGGAGGATGCACCCTCTTTGGTGGTTTTCCATGAAATAACATGCTTATCCCATAATCCTCATAAAATATTTCATCACCATTTTGTATTGTATGAAGAGATAAATAATCAGCTAAACAATTATGTTGATCTTTAATATGAATAAATTTTTCAATATCATATTCTTGCAATAAAATAGAAATTCGATCCACTCGTCAATCTTTTACCGATGAATTCATCATTTTGCATAAGGGACAATGATCAATATAAATTATAATAAATCTTCTGAGTAAATAAGATCGCATTCATTGAAAATATAACCATATGGAGAAAGCTTCCAATTCAATAGGATCATATCGTCGTTGAGCATGAGATGTAACTTGAGCATGAAAATATAAATTTTTGTGTTTCACCATTAATATTTTGTTGTAATATACTACCAACACCAGTTTTTGATGCATCCGTTGTTATTATAACAGGATGGATATGGGTGTGGGTGTAGGGTGGGTATGGATCTTTCCTTAACGCACTCATACCCACAGTCACCTGTACTCACGCCCACACTCCACACGCACATCGTCAGCCTCATACCCAGACCCTCAACCCTACACCTACACCCTCACTCACACCTTATTTGAATATTTGTAGTCTTTTAAAAAGATTTAAAATATTTTTGTTAAAATACTTGTTGCTTTTTCATTCGATGTAAATAATAATGAAGATTTATAACTGAACATTCTGTTATTAAAGAAGTTATCTATTTATGATAATACATGTTGTAATAAGGTCAATGTTTGAATATCCATATCAGGATGTGAACTGTATTTTTCTTTCTCAGTGACAACCAACATACTAGAATTCTGATAATCAACTGAAAATTTCATTCGATATAGAAAATAGAAGATGAACGATTAATATCTGATCTCTTTCATCGGAAGCATAAGACACATTATTTAGATTTTGTCGTTTTCAGCTTTTATCAAATGATCATGGATCGATTATATGCTTCAAAGTGTAACTTTTCTCTGATAGACGCTACTTATTCATATAGATATGAGTAAATTGATCAAATGATATCTATTTGTTTTACAATCTAATCTATTTTACTAATGATTAAATATTCAATATCTCTTGCTATACTTTTATTTTGACAATAACTTGCTCAGATTCCAATTAAAAAAAGCACTCTTAGAACACATAAAAAAAACGAATAATTTATTCAGCAAAACAAACAGAACTAACATTACATTACGAAAAAAGGAGTAATTCACAATGACTTCTCTTTGGTGAAGAGACGAAGAAGATGTAGACGTATGACTAGTATAATATACGCTCACCCAAACATATCATTTTTAAGATATTCATGGAGTTTTATTTAATATTAGCAATGATCAAAGGATTATGATTGGTTCGTGTTCTTTCTAGGCAGATGACTCGTTTTATTCCAAATGAGCGCATAAATTGTTCACGAAATCCACGATTCGATATCATTGATACATAAAAATTGGTCGTGGCAAACAAATAAGAACATAGACGAATAATGTTACCAATTACCAGTTCCCAAGCCTGTCGTGTATTTGATTTAGTCCACTGACTCGTGATGTGGAAATAGAGTACTGCAGCTCCAAAAGGAATATACGCAAGAACGGCAATGAGTGATTGTAGAAACAGCATCCGTGTTATCTGTAAATCGATCCGTTGTAAATGTGAAATATTTGTATTGGGTTCTATTGCACTACAAGTAGCAGGCGCCACACGTCGTTTCAGAACGGCTCGAAAACTTTGTGAAAGCATAAATGCAAGCACGAACACAATAAGAGGCGAACATACACCTGACAAGGATGCTTCAAGATAAGTATCAAAAACATTGTAGATACCTTCTTGAGCTGCACAGTATCCATTTGAATTAGTATAAAATATTAATCGGTGACCAGAGAGCAGGGCCCATATGAGTGCAGATACCGAAATTACTTTATAAGCAAGAGAAGCTCGGTTGCTCCATTGCCGATATGCTTTAACAAAAAGAAAAAAGAATTGAATATATTATCGAGTAATACTGATTATTCATTGAACGTTTGAAATAAATTTTATAATAAACAAAGAGTTGCCTAATGTTTTCTTATGTACACTTTTTTTTGGCTTAATGAGGTTTTGCATTATTATTGCAATACTAACCGAAGCAAGTTAATATTATTGAGAGTATTTGAAGAATGTGAGGACTGGCATGGGTCAACTCAGTGTGACGAAATCTCTGCAACTCAATGTTCTTTGGAAATTATATATAAAATAAGTATGTTTTCTAGTTTCGGCTAATAATGGTGGAAAAATCGGAACAGAATAATACTATACAATATGTCTGGTTGTTTTATCTTCAACT